ATAAATAATAAAAATGCATATTTGAGGAGAATTTCAACTGTATTATTTCAAATTTGAGTGAACACTGGGAGAAATGCTGACCATGAAGATGTCAGTCTTGTTCAGTTTTAGGGGGCAGTCACTTTGCTAGACTTGATTTTCTTCCTGAAATAAACCTTTCTGTGTAGAATTAAAAAATAAAAATAAAAATAAAAATCAATCCTTTGGATATTACATAACATGTCCTGTTCTGTTTAAATAAACCCTTCTTTTAGACACAGACTCTGCCTGCCTGCTTACATTGTGCTTCTCTAATCACAGACTGGAATATTAATTAAAAAAAAAAAATGCGCAGCTGATCAGGTAATACATTAACTCACCTTCTGCCAGTAGCCTGGACATGGAAGTATTGAGCTGCAGAGAGCTCAGCCCATCCTGCTGAGGCCTGGAGTGCATTAACCCATGGGAAACATGGACAGGGTGGGGTGGGACTGTTCCTGACAGTCGTGCTAACTTGCAGCTAGTGCAGGTGTGTAGAACTTCGCTGGGGTCAGTGGTGTAGGCACCATCAGCAGGGCTGGTTTTGCTGTCCTTGTGTTCCCATCACACCTGAAGCAGGCTGTGGAGCAGGGCTGTGCAGTGCGTGGCCGGAATCCTTTAGCAACGATGTTCCATTTTCTTGGGGTAAAAACTACCTCTTTTTGTGAGTTTCTCTTGCTTTCACTGATTTCTTTAGTTTAACTTTTTATGATCTTTTTTTCCTCAATTTTCTGGTGTACGTGGGCAACAAATGCCATTTAGGCTAATACTGTTTTATTATGTACATCGTCCCAGGTCGTCGTTCTGCCATGTCATTCTGCTGGTGAATTGCCATCATATCACTCTACAATATCGAATTAAACCAGATTAAATACTGCATTGGTTCTTTACCCTGTATTACATTTCAGATGCCTCTTGGATATTGTTGACTGTGATACAGACCATCGCACATTTCTTTCCTTCATTCCTCACTTTTTCCTTACAGATCCCTACCCCTTTTAAAAGAAGTGCACATGAGTTGATATCTTTATATGCATTTGCAGTGAGTACTTAACAAACTTACAATTGGCAGCTTCTAGACTCTGGACTTCAAGACCCCCCCAGGCTGAGTCATCCAACCCCCAGCGTAAGCAAGCAGAACATGGGAACAACCTGCAGATATTTTAAACACTGCGATTTCTTGTGTCTTTCAGGACCTAGATTTCTCATCACATCCACGGGAGCCTTGTATATTTTAGACGTACAGAATGAAGATGGACTGTACAACTACCGATGTATCACAAGGCACAGATACACTGGAGAAACACGACAAAGCAACAGTGCAAGACTTTTTGTATCAGGTGCTCCTTTATATATCATGTTAAATTAAGTATTGTATATGCCTCTCTCTAGTGTGCTTAAACTGGCAAGGCAGGTTCTTGTGCCTGTATGGGCTAACGACCAAGTCATCTATCAAATGGAAGGTAAAAGTGGTCAGCCGGGAGCTGCTGATGAGAAACAAAATATTCCATTTTAAAATAATTTTTCCTGTTTTTCACCTCCTATTAGGTATTTCCAGAGAGTTTGTAGGGTGCACTGGCATTTAGTACAGTGTTTTTTAGTAGGTTTAGAGTACTTTATAAAAGGGTTGTGGATGGGATTCATCCGATTAAAAGTAGACATGCCCAGTGAAAGTGTCTGGTCACCTTAATTTCTCTTTGTACCCAAAGGAGAGGAATGCTTTTAGGGGTAGTGTATCTGACCAACTTCAGCTGCCCACTTTGGGGTGAGATGAATTGCCTCATGGTGCCTATTTCTCTCTGTTAACCATGGCGGAAGCTCAGGACATTTAGCTCAGCTGTAGATGTTTCCACAACAGCAGTCTCAAGTTAGCTGAGGTACTTTTCAGCCTTCCTTTTCATTCATCACACTCCTCCCCTGGGGAAAGCAGTGTTTTCCCCTGCTTCCACAAGGGATCTCCAGCCAGAAGGGGTACGTTACCTGTCCCAGGCCACCCAGGATGCTGCAGGTAGACAAGAGGGTCAGCTCTGCTCCATGGGCAGAGCTGAGTCCCAGGCTAATAGCCTTGTGCAGTAGGTAGGAAAATGAGAAGGTAGATGGGGTATTGTGACTTTTCCTTAAAATTGAAAATCATCTCCTGATTGTTGTGTGTGTGATGGGCTGTTGGGTTCTACATACACACACCAAGCACTTAGGGCTGTCAGTACAGTGCTATTCCAATCCCACCTTCTCCTCATGTTGTCTCAGTGAGAGGAGGTACCGGTTGTGTGTGAGGTGAGGAGGAGGAGTAAACCGCAGGCCTGCGTTTGGGACTTCTCTCAAACATGTCTCTACAGGACTAGTTCTTGCCCATCTCCCCTTCCGCTCCCCCATTTGCTGGGTGCCTGTCACTGCAGCCTGTGTTTGCATGTAAGCAAATCCGAGATTGTGTTCCCACACCTGCAGAGTTAGCTGAGACTGCATCCCGGACTCTCTCTTCTTTCTCCCTGCATCCTTGCCGTACAGAAGACATGCCCACCCTCCCACCGAAAGCTCCGCAGAGCTTTTTCTCCTTTTCACTGTTACTAAGTTGCCCTAAAGATCAGTCAGGGTATGGTGACCTTCACAGTCTAACAGTCAGTGAGGTCATTCTCCTTTTGACCTTGTCCTCTTGCCTCTTGGTCTTTTTGTCAGAAAAAAAAATGCTAGTGATTAGGTCTCAGCTCTCCACCCTCTGTTTGAGAGCCTTAAGGGAGACAGAGGTGGGCACAAGGATTTGCATTGGTAACATATTTCCTGCCCTCCTCCAAAACGGTCATTGCTGGAAGATTCTGGAGCCTTCTGAACACACGAGTCAGTACTTAAATATTGTAATGATTAAAAAAAAAGATATCGTGATTGTTCAGGTTAGAATCACTTACCAGTCAGATCCAGGAGTCTTTTCCTTTGATATGTGTCCCCTGTGGGTAAAACTCTTGCCTCTGCTTTTCCCAGCCAGATGAAGTAGTTTTCCTGCACAATAATCTGCCTGCTTTGGTCTTACAAGGATAGGCACGGTCCTATCCTTCTAGCTGGCTCCATAATATGGTCTGCTTCCGTATGAAGTCATGCTAAGGCTGAGCTAGTGGTAACATAAATAAAACCAGGCTTGTATCTTGGTTACCACAGGAAAATTTCCAGTTATTTCACTCAACGAAAGGGGGAAAATGAAAGCTCTGTCTTGTTTGTAATTCAGGACAAGCATCTAAAAGACGTGCTCTGTCTGAAGTTCCCTTTTCTGTTCTCCTCCACAGACCAAATCAAACCCGGAAATTTCACCTGTGTGCAATAGCTGGCTTTTTTAATTCATTGGGGTTAATTACGCTCTATTAGAGCTGTAGTGGGCTCTGACTTCCAGTCCTGTTACTCTACTGAACAAGTGCAGCAATTATGGGTACAGTTTGGCTGTTAATAGTTCTCTAACAGGTTTTCCTTTTTCTTTACTGAAATTTATGTCTGAAAATAGTGAGTCCTTTAAGAACTGAGATCAGAGAATCCATGAACATAGTTTTGCATGAGACCTACATTTTTGCCTCCATTTTACAGCCATAAATATTCTTTGCTTATGTGTGGATAAAATACTTTGTGGTGGATATTGATCATAGTCTCTGGGCCACATTTTTAATCAAGTTAAGCTTCATTATTATTTGAAAGAGTGAGAAATGTGCATATAATAGCAAATACAAATATGAATAATTAGTATGCTTATGATCCAAGCAAATTCCAAATTTCATTTGGAGTAAGAACATCTCCTTGAAATTGTGTGGCCTTTCTGAATAAAATCAAAACCAAGGCCATTAATATGCTAAAGAATAGTCTTCTAATACCCATTATAGTGTTCTTTAAAAAAAGTATTTTTTTCCAGCCATGAATCCTAGCTCACAAAATCTTTTTTAATCCCCACCCTCAAAAAAATCCTTATGATTTTGAATGCATAATGAGTTTCTTGCTCTGTCCTTCAAAAAAGAGCCAAAGTAGAATATTTTAGAACAGTATTTTGCCTCAATATTTCCACTGTTGTCCTTCCTAGAGGTAATTGTCAGGTGACTGTTAAAGCACAGTAAAATAATAATTCAAAAGACTCCATATCACATACTGGAATTGGGATATGTTACTTTGCTATTTATTTCGTTGCAGGTGACTGAAAATTAACCCTGGGATTTCTTTTATGCTTTTTGTTTTGTTTTGTCTTTTCTTAACTGGAATATATGCAATGTAGGAGCTCTGTAGGAATAGGAACAAATAGGAATCTGTTCTAGGGACATCCCAAAGAGATGTTTTTACCATCCATTTAAATGTGTAAGTACAGAGTGCAAGAAAGCAGGTCACTGGGATCACATTTTCTGTATTCCTGAATATATTTTAACTACCTCCTCTATAAAAACCAACTCAAGGCTTCTCAGGTACGTAAGCAAACCCCAGCTTAGCTGTCCTGCGGGTGGGCATCCAGGCTGGGTTGCTCCTGCCAAGTCTCAGTTTGAGAAGGGAGAAAGTGAAGCGAAGTGAACCCGGGGTAGAGGACGCAAGGAGTGGTGAGCTGTTCCTGGAGGGCGAGAAGTGGTGGTTGCAGAAGGGGGCTGCGCCTCCCGTGGCGCCTGCTGCCATAGCCCCCGCCTCCCGGGGGCAGCCCCCCCGCGGGCTGCCTGTGCTCCTGCCGGGGCAGGAGGGCAGCGGCTGCTTTGCTGTCGCCAGCGGCTGGTTGTCTCAGGTGGGTTCGCACTTTGCCCGGGCCCGGTATCGAATACGGGGTCCTCTGCAGCAAACGAGGTGGCTGTCAGAGTTTGATATTTACTAGCCGCAACTTCTCCTTACCATTAGCTTAATTCCTCCCCCGGTGGCCCCCGTCCTGTTTTGAAGTCCATGCAGAACCTTGTATTTTTGTACTTAAAGGAAAGCAACTGGCACCACGTATATCCTTCCCAAAGCCTTTTGAAGTTAAAAGCATACGGAGAAAATATAAGGCTACTGGGAGTTTTGAGTAGGAATGCACAGGCAATACCTTTAAAAGTTAGTTCTACTTTTTTATTATTTAATTATTACTTTCAAGTGAAGAAATTGATTTCATGTAGATGCAGCCTTCCTAAGAGCCAGAGCTGTAATTTCTTGCATGCTTACATTTTTACTGAGTTAATTCCTCAGGCTGCCCAAAAGAATCTGTGCACTGAAAACAGAGATGCCTGATGACCCAAAAGGCGAGAAAGGAGCTGGCTAATCAATTAGACAAATTGACATTGGCCTTCCCAACAGCATCCTGGCAGAGTGTGCTTTCACTAAGTCAGACATAAACAGCATGGCAAGCTGAAAAATATAGCTCATCTTGATGCCAGATATGGACCCTGAGGCATACTAATGCATGCAAAATAATTTGTTTAACTACTGGCTGACACATTTCTAATGAGACAGACGGTAAGTTCCTGTAAACTAAATGGGGCTTTGCCTTCACTAGCTCAACTTTTTGCTGGCACGTACAGAGCAGAAAAAAACTCTGTGATTGTCCTTCATTGAACTTGGCATTTAGGGTGTTATTGAGATATTCATATAAAATTTACTTAGCCCATTTGTTTACCATCACAAGTTTAGTTTCTGGATTGATAGTATAATTTGCACAGTGCCTCTAGCTATTTGCTCTCACGTGTACTCTCCCAGGTGTGGCTGCAGTTCATGAAGATAGATCTAAGCTACTTTTAAACTAACTAGCTCAGGTATTGATTACACTATCACTTGGATAGCTTGAATTCAGCATGGACTGCTCCTTTAATCTATCCAGCTCCTAACAGGAACCTGCTGCAGCTTCCCTGTGAGCAGTACCTGAGCCAGTTAAGTCAAAGACCACTTGAAAATGTCAAAATGGATGCAGTTACACCCACATCCAGGCAACTATGATGTAGATATACCCAAAAAGAAATTGGTGTGCCAGATAAGAGTAAAAGGAGTTGATCAGCTTGTGGAGTTTCTTTGTGAGACAGAAGTCTTAGAAAAGTGGGTTCATGTGATGAGAACATACATAGATGAATATGTGTTTATTGTTCAGTATTTATGTTGCAATAGCTCCAGGATGGGCTTCCATCATGCTACATGCTGCACAAAGCTGTAAAACACGTCAGCACCTTCCTCCAAAAGTTTTCAAACTGAAAAAGCCGAAATCACAGACAGAGTACTATTTCTGATGGGATACATGCACCTCTGGTGAAGTGTTCTGCCAGGCATCTGTGAGATACATAAATATATGCCAGGTGCGACACAAGTGTGTTGGTCTGAGAGCCGCTTTTCTCGGCAAGTTGAGCACAGAAAGTTGGAGTATTAAGTTGTATGTTGGTCTTGTCACATTAAGTTCTTTTTCCAGAGAAGAAGAAAAGGTTCGTCTGTCACTTAGACCTCAAACAGAAATTCCTGTAATCTTTGCCCATTTCGCTCCTGACAAGGGAATAAATTGCTCCTTTAATTCAAAGCCTTCACACCACTGAGAAGCATGGAGAATGTGTTGGCTTCATTCTAGTCGAGTAGTGCAGGGATTGCAGTAGCAATTGTTAAGGCAACACATTTCTGGCTCTCCATTTCTCTGCTAGGGGACGTGAAGGATGACCAGAGAAATAGTTACCACCTGGAAAAAATCCAATGAGAAGATTTCCAAGTAGTCATGAGATGCTTCAATAGTACATGCTGCTGGATCCCAGCCGCCGCTACTGAGATATTACAGACCAATGGCTGGGTCACAGTAGCAAACTGTAGTACATAAAACACGGGGCTAGTGAGTCAAAAAATGTAGGAGAATAAATGTTGCATATTGCTTAGTGAATTAAAGAATTTTAATGCTCCCACTGAAAACTGCTGTTTGTTCTTTCAGATCCAGCGAATTCAGCTCCATCTATTCTAGATGGGTTCGACCACCGTAAAGCCATGGCAGGACAGCGAGTGGAGCTGCCTTGCAAAGCATCAGGGCACCCCGCACCAAAGTATCGTTGGCTGAAGGACAATGTTCCCTGGGAGCCTGACAGCAGGTTTCGGCAGACAGTTACAGGTCTTCTGATCGAGAACACGCGTCCCTCAGACTCAGGCAACTACGTCTGCGAGGTGTGGAACAACTATGGGACTGCCGAGATGATAGGGCGACTATATGTAAAACGTAAGTCCTGGACTGAGTGAAGCTCTCGGGCTACTTCTTGCCTGGGCATTTGCATCAGGGAAGATGATGCTGTATCTTGCTGTACCTTCTGTTTTGTTACTTTACCTTAGCAATGCTTAAACTTCTCAAAGTTGTGGAACAACAGAAAGTAGGCTCTGTGGAGATGAGTTAGTCAGACAATTGAGCGATCAGGAGTGCAAATAGATGCAATTTATAATGTAGCTATATAATTTATCACATGGAGGATATGTAATTTAGAAGCTTGAATTGGATGCTTAAAAAGAAATTGCAAATGTTCTCATGAATAAAGCTGCCAAACTCTCATTGTCATGACTCATGCTGTTCGGTAATATTGAATACTCATATCTCCCCTCAGCTGAGTATTAATGTGTGAATATTCTGAATGTTTCACAAATTCTACAAAGATAATTATTACTCAGAAGCACTGCACTGGAAAATTGTTATTCTTCTATCGTTAAAAAAAAATTCTTTTCTGGAATAGAAATAATGCTTTGTGAACTAACATTTCCACCTATAGAGCATGACTAGCAAACTGAAAAGAGAGAATTTTGCGAGCAGCTCAGGCCATAAAAATGTCTTCACAAATAATTACACACAATGTATTTGGGCATAATAAAACCGAGAGCAAAGATCAGTAATTCGTGAATTTTAACAGAGGAGCTTTGCTTCTAAATGTATTTGTAAAAATTAATTCAGTCTGCCTTGTATGATACAAAGTCAAAACTTCCAGAGACAGGATGTAATGGTATTGCTAGTGATACCAAAAGTATCCCCAGTGACTGGTGATATGTTTTACCTACTGACTCCGTGGTCAACCAGACCAGTAGGTATCTTCTGGATCAGATTGGCAAGAAGCAACAGTTGGGTGAAGGAGTTTTACCCTCCTCTGCAGTGGAGAATGTGGTTCACTGTCTTGCATCATCACGGCTCTGAGATGGTGGTGGTGCACTTGACCCATTAAACAAAATGGACACACTCATTGAGAGTCTTGAGCCTTTATGATCTTTTGGATAGCAAACATATGACCTGTAACACGCATATGAGCACATATTAAGTATTGCTCCAGACCACTGTAGAGGAAAGGTCTGTTCCATAAGTGTCTGTGATCCAGAATGATTGAGGCCACTGACTTGTGTGGGTTTTTGTCCATGCTTCTGTTCCCAATAGGCCACTGAAGATTTATTCCAACCCGTGTGTTATAAAATGTTCAGTAAATTGAATGAGGAAATTTTTATTTATAAGTGTGTGTATACATGTGTGTGTATGCATGTATGCAAGCTGGTAAAAAAATAAATAGGATGGTATATATTTAATATCAGAGATTATACCAGTGGTGATAGTAATTCCTTATCTTTTTAAAGAAGTCAAACCAGTAAATACAAAGCATGAGATGAGATCTGCACTCAGTACTGCCAATAACTGTTAGGTGCCAGAATAAAGATTGTTTTCCTTACATTTATGTTGATGACTTTTCTTCAACACTGTTAATCCTCTTTTTTTACAATATGAAACTTGCATTACCTATGCCCTACTATTTCTTAAGGCTGACTTGAAAATATTGTAGTCTTCCCATGTTGAATTAGAAAATCCAGTGAGCCCACACACAGAAACACGTGTGGATAGATTCCATGGATATCTAAGGGTGCACCTATGTTAACATTTTAGCATGGATCTTCCACTCTTAAAAGGTAATCTCCTGGTCATTGACGTCTAACGCACTTGTTCACATCAGGGAGTTTTGGATCAGTGAACTGGCTTCTTTTTGCAGGAAATTAAACAAGAAGATAAGCTTCAGGAATGAACCTAATGCACTAGTTCAAATGTCCACACTGAACTAATGCAAAATAACATCCTACTTCCCAAAATACATGTAGCACCATTGTGAGGCTCTCAGCAGCAATGGTGTTGCTCAGTAGATCTGCTCCTACTGTTTATTTAGGCATGGTCTAGAGAATTACTTCATGTGTTAAATAGGTTATCCCTATAGATCTATGTTTTGTGTCATAGATGTTGGTGATAAAAATGCTTCCTTAGAGTAAACACAGTAATCTGCTGGTTTTCTTGTTAGTTTTTTTTTCAGGAGGGTATGGCTGTGACTTTTGTTTTTCTCCTTAATCAAGAGTTAATTTGATACTCTCACATAAATGCACATGTATACTTAATGTTCTCTGTTTCCCTTCCCTCTCCCTTATTTTGATTTAAATCTTCAGAACCACTAAAAGCCACGATCAGCCCACGGAAAGTAAAAAGCAGTGTTGGTAGTCAAGTGTCCTTGTCCTGCAGTGTGACAGGAACTGAGGACCAGGAGCTCTCCTGGTATCGTAATGGTGAAATCATCAACCCTGGTAACAATGTCCGGATCACTGGTGTCAATCGGGAGAACCTCATTATGGATGGCATGGCCAAGAGTGATGGTGGAGCTTACCAGTGCTTTGTGCGCAAGGACAAGATGTCCGCTCAAGACTATGTTCAGGTGGTACTAGAAGGTCAGTCGCTACCTGTTTAGTGATTCTGGTCCCCATAATAATATATATGTCATCTTTGATGCCATCATTGTATAGTGGGGGACAGTGAACCCTAAACAAGAGAAGAGGTTACTCATGAACTGTCAGTGAGGTTTATTGTGCCTCACTTTGAACAGAGACTCATGGAATTAAAAAAATGGATTTGAAAACAAAAATATTTCCTGAGCAGTGCTTCCAGCCATTTTTTTTTTTTTTTTGGTGGGGGTGGATGATGATGGTGTTGATTTTTTACATTAGCTTTTCATCAGAGAAAAGGTCTGTCTCTATTCAAATCCAAGGATCTTCTGGGCATGGCTTTTCTGGTTGGGCATATTGGCTGAAGGCTTAGAGATCATCTTAACTAAATGACACAATGTCCTACATGATAATCAAGTGCGAAAAGTTAACCATTTACACAGAGCCAGTTCACTAATGAGGCATGGACACTATTTTTAGAATCATTATAGGAAAAGAAGAGATTACCTGCCTGGACCGCGTTACCTCGGCAACCATCTCCTGTGACTAAGAAAGCCTAAAGAGCATATTGATAATCTATCATGATGTCGAGAGAGTGCAGGTTATCAGAGAGCAACAGCAGGAAAGATTTTAAAGACACTCAGGTCTCACTGGGAAAATAATGTCTGCTTTCATCTCCAAAAAAAAGCATTTACACCGAGCCAGTTCACTAATGAGGCTGTAGTGCAGTCATGGCATGGACACTATTTTTAGAATCATTATAGGAAAAGAAGAGATTACCTGCCTGGACCGCGTTACCTCGGCAACCATCTCCTGTGACTAAGAAAGCCTAAAGAGCATATTGATAATCTATCATGATGTCGAGAGAGTGCAGGTTATCAGAGAGCAACAGCAGGAAAGATTTTAAAGACACTCAGGTCTCACTGGGAAAATAATGTCTGCTTTCATCTCCAAAAAAAAGCCTGTCACCTGAATTAAAAAAAAAGAGGAGGAGGGGTGGCAGAGGTACATAGTGTGCACACTCACAGATTTATTGCTCCTGTGTCAGCTTTCTTTCAGGATAAAAAGCTTTTTTTTTTTGTTGCTGCTGTTTTGTTTTTTGAGGGATGACAGTATCTAATACACAGCAAATGAAAGGAAGAGAGTCAGAGATGGAAATAAATAAATAAATTAGAACTCTGTCATATAACCAATAGGACAGAAACGAAAGGGAGAGGGGGGCAGAGGAGAAAATTATGAAATCAAATAAAATCAAATGTTCCTCCATGAACGCTAAGGTCTTTCAGCAGCCTGAGAATGGCAGTGCCTTATGTTTTTTACTATGTGGCAAGCAAGGGAATTTTGCAGCCTTGTTTTTAATTCTGCCACGATTCAGCATGTTTTGTGCGGAGCCATGCACTGTCGTGAAAGTTCCCTCGGTTTTCTGGGCAATGTTGCACTGAAATGGCAATGTAAGAATTGTGATTTCCAGAGGCGTTGTCATGGTTCAAGCCTCCCAAACATACAGGTAACACATAGCAGAGTGTATGTGAAGAGATAGTACACAGTGTGCACGAACAAATAGTGCATCACGCAGAGCAGGAGGTTTGTCAGTCCTGTCCTGACATCCTCTGTCCTGTGCAAAACTGGAGGGAGTTGTCCTTAAAGGGGCTTGTGTACGAGTTCAGTTTTCAGGGGCCTTTGGCCCCTCTCGAGGTAATGAGACACCTTTTCCTTCTGTTTCTTGCAGGCACTAATACTGTCGGAACACAAGTTAGCTTGCTTGCCATTTGGCTCTTTTAAACCAGACAGTAGCCTGCAGCACTGTTGTCCGAACTTCGGACTGGATTGCTTCCTGTGTTCTGCATGCTGCTCTTGTGTGTGTGGCCTTTTGCTCCCAGTTACACTGAAATTCCTTCTAGAGACAGCTTTGAAAGTATGATTTTCAAAGGAGAACAAACACGCATTGCATGATCTCAGAAAGAACTTCCTAACTAATAGCAGAGTTGTGACACTCCTAAATGTTACCCCGCTGAACTCTCTGGATAGGTAGTTATTTAATCCTGCTCCTTACTGACAATCTCAAAGTTTCTCTCTCCATCCATTCTCTTTATTCACTTTCGTAGTAAAGGCTGAGTCAACTGTGACACAAATCACAAGAGAAAGCATTTGAATGCTCTCGTTTCAGAGGAGTATTTATCTGTAGCACAAAATGACCACGGAAAGAAATTGGCATCACTGCTGTTGCTGGCAATCTGTATTCAGAAAAGCTTAATTTAATACTTTTCTAAATGGGGTGTTGCGGGTCAGGACTAAACTGCATTGGCACAGCTGTGTGAAATTAGCCTATGCAAGTTATGCCTGGCTCTTGCCAACAGGTTTCATTGTTAGCTTTCCAAGGAGCTGAAATCCACCAGGAGGAGAAAAATTCCAAATGTGTTGAGGTTTTGCCATATGTTTTTTGTGATGCATGGTGTATGGTTTTAACACTTTTCCATGAGACCCTGGCAGTTCATATAGGTGTGTAGAGCCCTAGTCCATCTATTCAAGTGCTCTTCCTTCAGCAGAGTCAGTACCAGGTTTCTCAGAGGATGAAAAAGAAACCTGCAATAAGCAAAGGATCATTTAAGTACTCCACTACCAACATTTGTTTCCCTCTCTCAATAATTAGAGTTACATCCTGGAACACAATTGTTTGCATCACTTCTAAAACATAACTTGTCTCATGTGATAAGCTCCAGGATAGAGGGAACAAGCTTTACACCGTGTAAGTAATATTCTCCTGCTTTTCTTTCCCTTGGCAGATGGAACTCCCAAAATAATTTCTGCCTTCAGTGAGAAAGTGGTGAGTCCAGGAGAGCCAGTCTCCCTTATGTGCAACGTGAAGGGGACTCCTCTGCCTACGATCACTTGGACACTGGACGAAGATCCCATTTTGAAGGATGGCAGTCACCGTATCAGCCAGATTATCACCTCCGAAGGCAATGTGGTCAGTTACCTGAATATCTCTAACACTCAGGTCCGAGATGGTGGAGTTTATCGCTGTACTGCCAACAACTCTGCTGGAGTCGTCCTGTACCAGGCTCGAATAAACGTAAGAGGTGCTTGTCAAATCAGCTCCTCAAAAAAACACACATAACTCATTGTAGTGGAGAAAAAGATCGTTGCATGTGATGAAATGAGTCTTGGAATGCCAAAACCAACTTACTGTTTTTCCTTTCCTTTTCTTCCCCCCTCTCTTTTCACACCCTGCCTCTCCAGCCCCATCTAGAAAGTGTATGGTATGGATAAATGTTGGAAGAACACTTTGGCTTGTGTTCTGTAGTCTATTTTTCCTATACTCATCTCTATTAGTTCACAGTTTCTTTACTTTAGTCCTGCTGTGCATGTTTTTTTTTTTCTTTTCCTTTCCTCCTTTACTTGTCCAACATTCATTGTAATTATTCGTGTATACAGTACTTTAGCTTGCGTTTCTAGCTCTACATGGCATAATACCCATCCTCATGGTATTATATTTTATATATATATAAAAAAAAATAGCTAACTTTGTCAGTGTTTTCATGTGTAACAGGATTCTAGCTTTGTATCAGTTTTAGTATTTCACATTAATTAAATCATCCTCAGCCTTTTAATTTGTAATGCAGCAAAGATTTTATCAGGCAAGTGTTGGATAACGCAAACATATAACCCCACATAATTAGTATGTATGCTGCAGGGTGAGGAAAAACTAGAGCATATAAAGATTAGGGAAACTGCTTAAGTAGCTCTTAAAAGCAAAAACTGTCAAATGCTAAGAAGTGTTGTGCGAGCCGCATCTGTAAATGTCATTAACATTTGTATATTCAGAAAAATGATATGCATGTTTCCTCAAGCAAATGTGCCTTTAAATTGTTTTCAAGACTCTATTTTACCTTCCTAGGCCCAGCAAGCATTCGACCCATGAAGAATATCACAGCAATAGCTGGACGGGACACCTACATCCACTGCCGCGTGATCGGCTACCCGTATTACTCCATCAAGTGGTACAAGAACTCTAACCTGCTACCATTTAACCATCGCCAAGTGGCGTTTGAGAACAATGGGACACTGAAGCTTTCAGATGTGCAGAAGGAAGTAGATGAGGGCGAATACACGTGCAATGTTCTTGTTCAACCCCAGCTGTCCACCAGCCAGAGTGTGCACGTGACAGTAAAAGGTGAGGTCAACTCAGAAAACTAAAGCCAAGCCAACGGCTGTGTCTTTCACAGAAACACAGAATTGCACAGAGGATTGTGCTGGCCGTTAGATAATGAGCACTTTAAGAAGGTTAATCCAGATTTGTGTTTATTTTTAATGATGACATAGATGCTGATCAGTCACTGTGTCTTGTTCTCTCTTGACTTTTAACCTCCTTCATTCAACTAGCAAAGTATTGCTTTCTAAGTGGAAACCTTGCAGAAGCAAGCTTTCCATGAGCAGTTTTCACTACAGCAACTAAGGCAGTAGATTAATATTTTGTCACCTGAGTTTCACTGGTGACTGTTTCTCTGCTGGATGACAAAGTTCACATTTTCATTAGCCAGTGAATTTCCAGCTTTCAAAAAATAAGATGAGAATTTTAATGTATGTGTTTCTGCCAATAAGCAGAGACAGGAACTAAAAGCATTAACCTTGTTTTCCTCTTATTAAGTGCACCTTTCTGAGCATTCTTGATGCATTCTTGATGCTCAGAAAGGTAACTCTGTAAATAAAAGTGACTTGAAATTCTAATAGGATGCGTAAAATCTATTCAATTAGTCCCAAACAAGGATGTTCAGATGGACCTGAAAGACTTCAGCAACAGATGAGATTAGGAATTTTTTAGCTAGTGTTCTGACTATTCTGATACAGGCAATGTTCAGACCTATTCACAAGGACACAAAAGACAGAAAACCTGATTGCAGTAGCACATAGTTTTGAGCAATGGGGCCACTAAATAGTGCACTTCATGTGAACCTGTAGGAAGAATTGAGGTATAATTTCACTGTTCCTGAAGTTCTTAGAAACCTTTCCTGGGCTTTTTTTTTTTTAGTCGGGGGGGAGAGGAGAGAAAAAAAGAAAGGAAGGAAGGTTGATTTTTCTATCTGTTCTCAGATAAGATACAGAGGAGAAGACGAAGGTAAAATGACTTCATTCGTTAAAGATATCTGATCTTTTAACTCCTTTCTGTTCTGTTTGTTTAGCCCTTTCTTGTTTTCAGTCTAGAGTGATGTAATTGCTAATTATTTCAAGAGGTTAGGGGATTAGCTTTAAGCCACTAGTGATTTGTGCTCTGAAAAACGTGACATCTCCATACACCTGAGACCATCAGGGCCACTGGTCACACGCTGCGGCATAAAAAGCTAATTTCACCTTTTCTTTTCATCTATGTGGTACATTGCTTGACATTACAATAGCTCAGATCTGTTGATGCACTTTAGGAACTGAATGTCAAATTACTAATTGCGTTGCTGCTGCACTAACAGTTGACCATGGTAAATCTGACGGGCAATGATGTCTCTTAAAAGATATTGTTCTTCAGATGACTATCAAAATTAATGTAGCCAGACACAAACACAACAGTCTATCCTTACAGCTCAGACATTTAGATCATGCTAGCTGGTACGTCAGGTGCAATATACTGTTTTTTCTTCCATTAGGTCACAATTTCAAACTTGGCAATTCCTCCCCCAGAAAGCAGATTGCCAGCTCTATCAGTTTTGATTGAACTGTAGCTTTTGTCAATGAGTTTATTTCCTTGAAGGTATTCTACTGTATTTCTGGGTATTCAGCTGCCAGGGCCATTGGCTGGTCAGAAAACTCAAACAGTGACTGCAGCATGAAAAGTGACCCACGGCACGTGCAAAGCAGACGTGTCATGCTGGCTCATGCTTATTGATCTGGAGTTGCCAAAGTTGGCTGCAAAGTGCCCTAGATACTGCAGCATGCCCTGGCCTTGACAAGGCATTGTTATTTAAAAGAAGGTTAATATCCTGTCCTCATATGCTAAGCCTGAAATGTCAAAGGTGAACTTTGTATGTCAGACCTGAACAATTCTCAAGTTTCTGCTGTAGTAGCTGGAGGTCAGCATTGCCACAGTGGTTTGTTAGATGGCTATGTATTGTTTTCTTCCCTAACTACACAGTGATTTTACCTAACATATTAAGAGAGTCAAAAGTGGCCTGTTGCTTCAAAATGTTAAAGTTTTTGCTGTCTTTTCATTTTATAGATTCCAAAGTTAATGTGATGAATTTTCAGGCACTTATGTTTGATTCTGAGAAATGCAAAATATGGCCCAGCTTGCATACTAGAGGTTTAATACTCTGAAGTATGACACTATAAGGGGGATTAATATCAGTGCCTAAATCTCATTTATAGTTCAACTTCTCATACCATCAGTATACTTATTTCTGCTCCGTAGAAACAGAGGGAGAACTGCCCATCTTCAACAGCATGGGTCCTTTGGTTTGTTCTCATTTCTGCTATAAGCTTCCTGGGCGACCTCAAACCAGTCATCTGAAGGGTGATTCAGAGTAGATGATACTTAATGAGCTGCTACTTGGTATTTTGTTTCCTCCATGTTCTAAGGACATAATTATCAATTTCCTCATGAACTATTCTAAGATTATAATCTCTGTGGTATCAGAGTGTTTCAGAAACAATGTGTTCATTTTCAAAACCCACCTGGATGATCAGGAGTGCTTTTGGAAATAGCAACTGAGGCACAGGCTGAACTTAAAAGTATCCACAAATTTCTGTGTGTTCAATTTCAGAAGCCTACAGCTTGATCTTTCCAGTTCAGCTGCTGTTGTATAACATTTATATGTTCAACTCTGCTCCCATTGAAATGAAGTTGCTTCTGAGAGTTCTTTTTCCTTCTTCAGATCAGTCACATTACCCATCTTAGCAAGCCCTTGGGAAAGACAGATTTAAGTCATTTAATTAGCATTATCTGAGAAATCTGTGGCAAAGGCGAATACAGAATTTGGCTCTACAGGACAGCATTTATCTGCATTATGCATACAACTTGCCTTTCTTGTCTGCAGTCCTCTGCCACATTTACTGCCCACTTTCCAAACTCTCAGTACATGAAGCATCCTCGTTCTGTCTTGAATGAGGACTTGCTAAAAGCAGCATCCAAATAAAGATATGCAACAGCATGAACATGTAATTAAATACAAGAGGGCTGCCCATTCTGTAGAGTATTTTGATATTTACAAACATCAAATGAAAGCAAAATCTTGAGGACATTCTTCAGAAATCATTGTAAAATCTCAGATAGGAGAACAGAAAGTACCTTGACAACAACTTCAAAATTAAATCCTGGCTGCCAGAGAACCCAAGAGTGGGGCTTATAGAGCCTTACTGTGTAGCCTCCCACCTGGCAGGCTGTCAGGAAGCCAAACACTTGGGAGCTGGGCACTTACAGGTTCTTTAACCTTAGGCCAGCTATTTCTTTGCATTGCTGATCAGAAGAATCAATTAGACACCACATGAAACCAGTTGTCCCATTTTTTAGGAATAACCGGTGCCCTTGTCTGCATAGCCACCTACCCCAGAGGACTGCAGACTCCAAATAATTCTGTTCCACAGAGATGTGGCATGCCACCCCCGCACCATCCCTTGCCTGTCTCTTGTCTCTGTCCCAAAATCTGGATCTTGGAAGCTAGCAGTCCATAAGCTGGCTGCTGGGAGCTGAATGGATAAGCTGGCAGGAGAATATGCAGGTTTCTGCTTGGCAGTCATAGCTCTGTTGGAACCGTGCCTGAATCCTAACGGAGCTTTTTGGAAATCAAGCCATCTTGGCATTATTTTTTTTATATTTAGACAAATGAATTGGCCAGTTCTGAGTTCTGACAAAAAGCCAGGAATATTACCCACCCTGTAATGCATACCTAACGGGGGGAGACTACGATTGTACTTACATACTTGATTTCTGGTATTTTATACCTGTCGACGATTTGCCTTTGCAACTGAAATAATACCTTTTCAACATGTTTACTTTGGCTTGTGTTAAATGCAATTTTCTTTCTAGCTTTTTTGTAAAGTAAACTGAGTCCCCTTTCCTCCCCGGCCTGCGAAGTGGAAACAGTAGTTACTGACATCCTCAGAAGTAATCATCAAGATTAGCCTTGCTAAGGATAATGTATAGGTCCTTGCCAAGAATAGAATTATTCTTAGCAGTACTAGTTTCTTACTCTGCATTTGGCCCAGCTCTAGCAGTTTAACATTGGGGTTCATGTACATCTGCTGACAGCAGAGGACTATTGGCGTCAGACATCCTAAGGAGAATAATATTCTGTGGAAGAGGAGGTTCATGCCTCCTAAGTATGACATGTCCTCCTCAGTCTTCACCGGCTCATCCTTGCCCAAGACCTGGCTTTTCTGCTCTGGGTTCCAAAACCAGTCTGTCCTCCACGTCTTTCCCATCTCAGTCCTCATTTGTTTGACAGCTTGTTCTTACAACCCAAAACTGGTCTTCCCCTTAAGAGCTCCCAACATTCCTCCCAGCCTCCAGTTACAGTCCTCTCTTTCTTCCAGTCTCCAATTCCTCCATCTCCAGTGGGTTTCAGTCTCTTCCCTTCATGTGGGAATTCATTCACTGTCAGTGCTGTACTTCACCCCACTGCTTCCTTGTCCCAGTCTCGCATCCTCTGCCAGTTTCCCAGTTCCACTTTACCAATCTCCATCAACTCTGCTGTCCCACTGCAAGTCTGCTCCCAACTTCTGACTTTCCCCCACTGCCCCTAAATCCAATTCTATAATTCCCTTTTGTTATCCTGGATACTGCTTCGAGCTTCTGCTCCATCGCTTGTTGCTGCTATCTGCATGCCCAGGAATGCAGGCTGGTTCCCTGCTCTGGTCCCTTGACCCCCACATCTCCTTTCCTTCTCTCTCTATTGAAATAACTTTTTTTCATGCTTCCTGGACCCAGCATGGGCAGCTGTACAAGCACTAGAGAGACAAATTTGTCTGCTTTGATTTCTGACACCTCACCAGACTGTACCTGCCCCACGCGGCTGGCGCTGACTCGGCCACTGAAGGCAGTGCTAGGCTGTGCTCAGCGCTGTGTGAACCCTGGGAGCTCTTAGCTGTTAGTCACTGGAAAATGTCTTCTCAGGATGTGATAACTGTGGGGTTTTTGTCTATTTATTTCCTTGATTTTGCTCAGACAGCAAAATTTGGGCACCCTTGTGA